GCTCGTCACCTTGAAACTTTTAGTGGTAGAGTGGTGGTTTCCAAGATGTCTCAGTTTGGATTTATACGTCCGGATAAGTACTATGGAGATTTTTGTAATATCATGGGATTTGAAATTGTGCCCGATTGTAAACAATTGTACCATCTTTTCACTATTAGTGTTATGGAATTCATCACACTATTAGTGAAAAGTGGGTGCTGTAATTGATATGCACACATCTGCCCAAATGTGTATGTCGCTTAAGTTTTGGAGAATTTTTTGGCCTATGACAAGCGTTGGATGTTTTGTGGCTGTATAGCGACAGTGATGATGATGATTATTCTTCAATCAAGAAATCTAATAGCCAGGTCGACTTTGCGGCTTGGCCTAAATAATACTTAATTGATTTTCGCCATTATAAGTTGATATCAAGTCCTTTATTGAAAGCTGCAGCAGGAAGAACAACAAAAGGCTCCTCTAGAAGCCAGCTAAGTGAGTTGTTTGAGCAATAAACGTTGTACGCAGTGCATTACGTCGTCAATGAACGGTAACTTAGTTGTGACGCGATGGGAAACCGCCATGTAGCGTTAACGGAAAAATCATAAAGTTTGTCGTCAAGAATTGAATAATAATGGTCATTGATAATAATTTATAGTTTAGTAAACTGTTGTATATTTTGATAAATTGAGTAAAGGTTGTCACATATGTAGATTTTTTTTGTTTTCCTTTATTGTTTTTAAGGGGTTTTTGCCCATATGGATACGTCAACCCCATCGTACCTTATCTAATGAAATATACTATATGTAAAGGGAATCATTAAGAATGACATGACATGAGGATGACATAACTTTTCTCATATCTAGCCCAGATATAAGAAAAGTTATGTCATCCTCACCAGTTCACACAACCCTTTTGCAATCTTCTTTTTCAGATATGTAGATATTACAATTAATTTATTAACTGGCTTAGCTCCGAAAATGTTGAATAGATTAATTGTGTTCGTACTCAAAAGTAAACAAAAACGTGAAATTAATCAGGTCTGGAGCAAAAAGGTTGCGTCATAATTATTAGTTCTAACACTGACTGAATTTGTGGAAAACATGTTTGAAATGCCACTTATTTCGTTGAAAAAAAACAGAATACGGAAAGGGAATACATTATGGCGTCTTACGAATTTTTGACATAAAAACCAGTACCTTCTAAATGAAAGCAAAGAGTCCGGATATAAACTTTTAAATGCACTTAAAGAACATAACAGATAAATGGAGTTTATATACTGAACTTTAATTTACATAAACTTCTAAATATTTTTTTTATAATTCCTCTAACAAAATTATTCAAATTTTCTAATCAATTCACTTTTTTGCTAACCGTACCACTCGCGGGCCACTCTAGCCCATGTCGCCAAGATACAATGAAATTACGGAGACGGCTTTTTAGCGGGCCACGAGCCATAATTTATAAATGACCGCTTGTTTTGCTGACGGTACCAGTACATTGGGTTTCGAAGTCCACTATGCTTTTAACTTCATCCCTGTTGTTTTAAGGCCTTTTAATGTAGTTTTAACGTCATAGTTCAAAAGTGAAGGCTTTTAAATCCATTTTGAAATATGAAAGGAATTAGGTGCTGTTTGATTTTGGGGAACTTTTGGATCACCTTCATTACTTTTAAAAAAAGATAACATTTTATGAAAATCGGCATTCGTACTATTTTATGGAAAGATGAGATTTTGTGTTCACTATTTTCGAGATCCAGATTTTGTGATACAGATAATATTTTTTTTTTATCCTGCGTTAGGAATCGATCCTAAAACTGTGCACTGGTAGTCATCAATAATAATTTTTAAGCCTTTGCAGTTTAACTCGTCGAGTACCGTATTTATAGACACAATTAAAGAACAATAGGTTGCGGTCACCGGTGACCGCTCGGTGTTTGACAGTTTAAAGAACAAAAATGTTAATCATACTAAAGGTCATACAGAAAATTTTGTATATTTTCATGCACGTTTTCATAACCATAACATAACTGAATTTCATAAAAAGTCGTTAGTGCACTTCCGTTCTAGCAGGCTGACATCACACATTCGCGCACTGAACATCAAAGAACTTTAAAAACACGTTAAAGTGCTGTAATGCAACCAACTTACTGAAGACAAGTGGCGACGGTTCGCCGGAAGTTCACCCGCAAACAATATGGCTGCCGGCCACTTCCGCCCGCCGAGTTTCCGCCTTCAGGCCACAAGCGACATTAATAACTTTTCAAAATGCGTAACGTTGTTTAAAAATAGAAATCTGTTCGCATTGGCTTTGTTAACTTTTAACCGGCGGTTTATTGTTGACTGAAGTTAACGCTAAGTTAGTTAAGGTTAACGTGGTTATCTAGAGGGTGTATTCAGTTTATTTATTTGGAAATAAATCAGTTACGGGATGATTTTAAGTGAAAGAGGGACTCATCTCTTGTGTCGAATCTTATGTCAAATCTTATGAGGCTTGTTAAATAGAGTTTTAGGTCGAGTTGCAGTTCAAACTTTCGGTCAGAGTAAGTTTTTTAATTGCGAAGTTCTGCATGTGGCAACACTTACATTTCTGGTTACGTAGTTAATCCAAATATAACTAAGGAAAAGAAGGCCAAAAGTGACTCATATCTCTACCTTCTCCTGTATAGAATGTAAGACATGTTCTTTTTCTATCTATGAGTTTATGAATCATACTAAAATAAAAATATATAACCAATAAGCATTAGTACCATAACTTATAATGCACCATCATTAATAGAATATTATATAATGCACAGGCTACGCCGTAGCACTACAGCTACGACGTAGCATCGTAGCGGCGTAGCAGGGGTCCTTTCCGGAAGACACGGGGGGCTGGGAGGTCTGGGGGGTTGCAGACAGCGGACACATCCGTGGCAGGGACATATGTATCGGTGGTGCTTCCTCTCTGAATGTTTCATGGGTAATCTACCGCCAGATACGGGCGAAGACGTGTGTTTTGTGTATGGTATACGACTTCATAAATTGTTATGTGGTTTTGTTGAGGAGTTGCGTGTTTGTTGTGGGTTGATGGGAGACCTGTTTTTTGGACTGGAGGACTACATGACCTCATTATTACAAAAAAATATAAAACTGGGACTAGACAGGCTATAAGTAGTTTATGATTGCACATTTCTCTAATTACACTTACCTCAGTTTAAAATTATGTTATAGACAATTAAGTACATTGTCTTTAATACTGTTTTTTTCTAGTACATAACCCCAGTTTATCTAATAAGATTATTTACCGTAGTCGTCGGTGTGTTCACATATTAACAACTTTAACTTCAATGCCTGATTAACTCCATTCATCCATATTATAATATTGGTAACGTGCAGGAATCTAACCTGCCAGTCAGTCACTATTTTAATGGTGTCATTTTAGTCAGAAAATTAAAAAAAAACAGAAGTTTTTTTACATATTGAAGAATGCGCTCTATAGCCCAACTTATATGTATGGTGCAGATCTATTCAGTTTTGTTATTAGCGTAAAAATAAAACAAATCATTTATGTTAAACATTTTATTATTGAACTCATAAAGACAACACAGGCGTCTAACTACTACATTTAATTCCATAGGTACATTACAGTTACTTACAATAATCGTATAGCTATTTATATATTTTTTACCAAAATTTAACAAAAACACTTTTACATTTTACCTATTTTCAGCTTCACATTTACCGGAGTTTTGATATAGACATAATTTTTAATTACGATTACATATTTTCCAATTTCTATGTCTACCTTTTTATTTATATACCAATCTAGTCATAAGCCCTTTTTAAATATATTATATTACATGTAAAGCGAACTAAAGTCATTTATATATTGTATTAATAAAAATTATACAAGCTATTACAGGTTTGTAATTTTATAATAACCCGCACTATTCCAAACATGTCTCTACTGTTATATATTATAATTGTATAATATGGTATTGTTGTTAATTTTATATATTTTCATATATTAATATCGCCTACCTTTTACCTTTTTTATTTAAGCCTTACAGTCGTATAATTGCGATAAATACACTTAAAAGTGTGGACGAATTTATGATACTTCTTTTTAATTATAAATTGGAAATAATGTCGTATATACAATTCCTATATACAATTATAAGTTCTACGTATAATTTCTATATATTTATAGTACAAGATTTAGTAGTACGAAGCGTTTGTTAAATTTTGTATATTGCTTAATTTTAACAGTTAGTATCGCGGAAATATTGTCTACACAATTGACGGTTTATAATTATTATTATTAGATCTAATTACATCTTTCTTGCTTTTTATTTCTTTAACCATGTCTATTATAGGTATTTACCTCTACGTTTTGAGACAAATTGAAACTATACAACCTTGAGATCTTTTTAGTTCTTTTAAAAGTCCCTACTTTTTAGTTACAACAGACACAAGGATACTTCATACATTTCTAAGTAGCAATGATACAGTTTCGCTAGGAATAGGTATACTTAATTTACTTAATCTAACATTTAAGCAACCGAGGTGCCTTGGCTGCCTCGTTACAAGTTTGCCTCATCAAGAGTAATAATTGCACAGAATTTTATATGAGCTATAAGTTTAAAATACATTTTTGAACAAACCAATTGTGCGCCCTATTTGCAGTGCATTTTTTATTTACATGAGCAAATTTAGCGTCAAGAGCTTTGTGATATATTATATTATATAAATGCAATAGTATATATTTAGTATGTATTTAGTGTTATATACAAACGAATATGAATTAATCAATCAATATTAAGTGTACTTTGATGAAACTAGATCAAAGAAAGGGAGATGAAATTAAATGCAGTAAATTAAACATATATATATAACTATTCAATAATTCAACTTTGTTTAAAATAAAATATTTATTTAAGTAATAGATATATGGTTTTAGTGTAATTATTTATTTATTCCTCATCTAGGTAGCTACATATATGTTTTTTGAAAAATATTTAATTGTGTGCTAAAGATAAGTCGTCAACGCTTCGGTACCGCAAGCTGTGCTCCTTCGGCCATTGGGTTGCTGTGGGGAAAATAAAATTCATGTACTAATTTTCCGTACGATATTGGATACTATTGGAATAAAATTCCATTGGAACTCTTTGTGTTTCCAATGCATTTGTATACATCTCTAATTAAAATAAGTTAATATACATACTGTCATACATAATATTCGAATTTCTTTCTATATTTGACATTTTTTTCAAAGTTCTGTATATGTATCTGTATTACATTGTTGAAATAATGTGATTGGCAGCATCAAATGATTGAGTTTTAAAATAAAATTCTGGGTTTGTGTAACGTGTTGAGGTTACAAGAAAATAAAACTGCAACAGACAGTATAAAATGTATTCATACATTACCTAAGGTCGTTGCCCTTGCTAGTTACGCTAGTTAAACTTGCTGATGTCGTAGTACTAGTCGATGTAGTACCATTGGCAATTGTTTCACTAGGAACGGACAATAGGGTCTCTGATCCTTCTAAGATTAAATAAAAACATAAAATAAAATAAGAATATGGCAACAAAAATAATTGCAAAATGCATGCAAGGGATTACATAATAAAAATATAAAACAAATCAATGTAGCACATACAATCAAAGTACCAAAACTACATATAGAACTTATATATATATATACAAGACATGACAAGATAGAAACAGGATGTTGACTACAGTCTATATTTACCAAGTTATTATAAAACTTTTAACATAACTGGTATAATAGGGATGATGACAGGGTAAGGAAATTAAAAATGTAATTAGTCCGTCAGTTAAGTAATGAAAAAATATTAGACACGTATTTTTTATTTTGTCATATAAGAAAACAGTACATATATAAAACGAATCAAAGTTTAGAAATAGGAGCTAAAACGTCATTCCTACATATACAAAATGTCCATAGAAGTGACGTCACGAGATATTTTAAATCTATATATCGTCGAAAGTATTTGTTTCTGTAAGAAAATAAAAAGTACGTGTCTAGTATTTGATAATAATCTATCAGATGGATATTAAATTAAAAACTAGTAATCTACCCTATTGTACGGCCTACCATAACCAACCGCCTTGGAGAATTATAGTGCGTCATCATATAGCTGTACATTCAATAATTAGCTACTACAATATAAAAATATGATTTTCTAAAAAAACAATTAACAAAAGCATTACTAAATAAATTATTATCTTTTCGGCTTACCCACGTAATAATTTAGCATAGCTTGAAACTAGTCGAATTCCTCGTCAAATTATTACGTAAGTAAGCCGAAAACATAATAATTTATTTAGTATGTCTCACGAAAGTTACAATACAAAAGCATTACTATCTACATTATTCACACATACAAATCAAACAATACCTATTTCTGTGACATTTCTTTGGTCTATCGACTCTATCGTGCCTTTTGCATGCAACACTTTTTTTGGTACGACGTTTGTGGCGGTACCGTGCTGAAAGTTCAGTAAAATTGTGGTAGAAGAGGAGATAGACATGTTCGAAGCGTAAGTTGCATTCAGTGTATGATTGTTTCGTATTAACTTGGTATTGGTATTTAACAGAAAGTTGGTAATCTATATATATAAAAGAAAGTCGTGTTAGTTACACCACTTATAACTCAAGAATGGCAGAATAGATTTGGCTGAAAATTGTTAGGGAGGTGGCTTAGAGCCAGGAGACCGACATAGGATACTTTTTAACCAAAATTTTTTTTTTACTTTTTACCGAAAATCACGAATGGGGACGGGAAAAAATGAGATTACGCATACGAAGTCGCGGGCAGAAGCTAGTGAGTAATATGATAACCGAATTAACAATTAGTTCTTTTTTAAGTTTTTTTTGGTTACAATATTTTTGAAGGTGTCTCAAAGAAAGTGAATGTTTTTTTTTCAAATGTCGTTTTTATAGTTAGACGATTAAAATTGTTTTTTAGAAAAATGATGATATTAATAGGTAGTGTAGTCGAATTAAATAAGTTTTGCTACTGAAATGGTTTGTAACATTATTTTTATTAAATTTATTACCATAACAATCATATTAAAAATTAGACACATATTTTTAACGCCTGAAAATCTATACTAATATTATAAAGCTGAAGAGTTTGTTTGTTTGAAAGCGCTAATCTCCGAAACTACTGGTCCGATTTGATAAATTATTTCTGTGTTGGATAGCCCATTTATCGAGGAAGGCTATAGGCTACAAAATATCACGTAACGATTAATAGACGCCGAGCAGAGCGAGTGAAACCGCGCGGATGTAGTTAGTGCTTAATATGACTAAAAGTCAATACGAAACAATTAACGTTACATAGAATCTTCGTGCTGTTAAACCTTTTTTTATTATTATTTGTACATGCTGCATTCTAGAGAACCAAGATGCTTTATTAAAAAGGAGTGCAATTTATTGTTATTTACGAAAACATATTTGTATTTACCTGTATAGTGCATATTTCGGTACATATCTGGACAATTGCTTGAACCCTGTAAGAAAACAAAATAAATATATTAGTAGTTAAAACACTTTTAATTCAGATGTACACATAAAATGACACACGCGCTTCTACTATTAATGTTATGAAGTCTGTTGTCTTTATAAACTAGATACAGCTTTATACTCTATGATACTAAGACGTAACATAACATTACGTCTCTTATCGCCGAAGGGGTAGGCAGAGGTATAAATTACGACACTTAATACCACTGTACAATGTAATTTTCACCACACTCACTTTTCACTATTTATCTTATGAGTCCCATGTAATAGCGTAAGCCTATTGCTATATACAGGGCCTGCGGACGGCGAGCATGGGTGGCTCCCCGTCCGACCAGAAACAGACCCGAGCGTACGGCGCGTCGCGTTCCGCGCGCGCCTCAAAGAGCCATCAGACCACCACAGATGGGGCCCAATAGGGCCGATGCCGATTCGGAGTCGCGGAGAACCTAACGGGTAACCGGGGCTCCGGCTCGACGTGCAGGAGAAGGAACGGGGTGGTTTTTAGTCAGTAAGAGTCTGACACTCCCTCCCGCCTCACCCGGGCGGGAGCAGTCATTCGATGATTTTCCCCCCTTAAAAAAAAAAAAAAATTGCTATATACAAGGCACGATTCCAGACTCCGTACTACTACTGAGATTTTTTTTAAAACCTAGTGTTACTTTGCCTGACCCGGGAATCAAAAACCCTTGCCAGTCGCACTTGCGACCACTCGGCCAACGATGTTTAGCACTTTTCAAAATATCCGAGAATCTAACACAAATAACCTATTATTTATATAGCACCAACAAAACTTCATATATTTTACAACAATCGGTTCTGAAACTGCTAGTTGATTAAACGCATCGTGTCCAAACGTAAATTGTTTTACTTCGTGCAGTAGGACAACTACTCTTAGACCGGGATTTGTTTAAGATTTATTACTTGCCATGCAATTTGGTACTGTTTTAGTCTGCATGTAGCTACTCGAAATATAAGATAAATCGTGTTTTCCTCTGTAAATGTATTACGTTATTATTGCAGTCTGAATTTCAAGAGGAGTCTTGAATTGCGTCCAATGAGCATCTTAGAACTAGTTTTAATGTTGCCTGATACGAGGATTTTCTCCTGTGTGATGTGTGCATTTACAAATATATGACTTCACACATCTAACTCAGAACTTGTTGAATAGACACAGGTGGATCATATTATGGTGGTGGTTGACTTAACTCGTTGAATACCGTCATTATAGACACAATTAAAGAACAATAGGTTGCGGTCACCGGTGTCTTCGCGGTGTTTGACAGTTTAAACGACTTGTATTCTTTATATTAACATAACATAATATAACATAACATCACGCCTTTTTATCCCCGAAGGGGTAGGCAGAGGTGCACATTTCGGCACTTAATGCCACTGTACAATGTAACACCCACTTTTCACTATTTATGTTATGAGTCCCATGTAATAGGGGGTGAGCCTATTGCTATATATCGGGCACATTTCCAGACTCCGTGCTACTACTGAGATTTTTAAAAACCCAGTAATACTTTGCCCGACCCGGGAATCGAACCCGAGACCCCTTGCCCGGTAGTCGCACTTGCGACCACTCGGCCAACGAGGCAGTCTTCTTTATATTAATATAATTTAATTAATGCAATTGCAAGCAAGCGTGGTGATTAATACTCAAACCTTCTCCGTGTGAGAAGAGGCTTTGCTCAGCAGTGGGCATTTATAGGCTGTTGATGATGATGATGATGATGAATTAATGCAATTTGGACAGAGCATACAGAGCATACGTCGACTCTACACACCAAAGTATGGCAGTCACGCAGAATTGTTCTGTGCAGGAATATAACCTGCGATACGTTGCATGGTAGCCGGTTACCCAGGCACTGCGACCACCATGCAACATTTCAAATCCACAAGTTAATACATATTCATAGCCAATACTATTACACCAAAATGCTACCCAACCAAAGCTAAACTGTACCGAAAATAATCACAGGCATCCAACTACGGATCCCGGTATTCGCATCACTAAACACTGGGACATAACTCACTGAGCCACGAAGTCTTATCTCCCAACTACACTACCTTTGAGTAGGAATAATATCATCATGGGTTTTAAAAGATATGAGTGTCTAGTTGAGTGGATGTAATTGCGATTACTGAGGAAAGTAAACAAGCTACACATTTAATAGATACCGGGCAAGAGTGTTCTCTGATAAACCGACACTATCAAACTATGACTTCAAACTTGCCTGTCAAAGGAGGCGATTATAGTAAACGGCATAATGTAGATGAGTAAGTATTGCCTTGTTTTGCAGTATTGGTTGAAAAGAACTGAGGAAGAGATCTCTTTATTCATTTCTATTTTTTTTTCTGGGTTATAAATACGATTTTCACAATTCTCATTATAACTTATGCAATGCAAGTGCAGAAAGAGTAATCAATTTTAACCATTATTATATTATGTAACTTACATCATAATTAGCGTGCAGTGAGCGTTACATTCGATGTTAGTTTATGAATTTAGAATATGTACCCACTAGGTAATAATATGCATGCATAATATAACATGAAGGGGTAGGCAGAGATGCACCTCTGTGTGCACATTATGCCACTGCACAATGTAACACCCACTTTTCACTATTTATCTTATGAGTCCCGTGTAATAGGAGGTGAGCCTATTGCCTTATACCGAGCACAATTCCAAACTCCGTGCTACTACTGAGATTTTTTTAAAACCCAGTAATTCTTTGCCCGACCCGGGAATCGAACCCGAGACCCCGTGCCCGGCAGTCGCACTTGCGACCACTTGCGACAACGAGGCAGTCAGCAGGTGTAATAATACTATCACGAAAACTGAAAAATATTGCAACAATTTTCCACAAAACCCTGACCTTTGTCTCATTTATACTCCTTGGTTCAGTAATACAACGCATAAGTTCAAACTCTGTGTATATAGTTATTTGTTTACTTTGTGATAACCTGCTTTTTATTGTATAAATGTATTATACTAACTCTAGTATTCAGTTTACAGTTTATTCTCGCACTGCATTGTAATGTATTGTTGTTTTCAGAAATCCCAATTCTATTATATCAACAAAGGTACCTCCCGATATAAAAGTTATATTGGATGTTAACTTTAAACATTGTTTTACCTATGTATAGGCAATTAAGAAACTTTTTGCATTTATGGAGAAATATTATTTTGTATCATTTTTGTTTACATGACCAATATCGAAAAAACACGATTATAAAGGACAAAAAATAAGAACACAGAAAAGGTCGTGTCATTTAGTTGGATTATTATTTGGAAAGTGTTGTTCTGTGCGGGAATCTAATCCGCGGCATGATGCACGATAGCCGGTTGCCCAGCCACCGCATCAATCGTGCAATCGAATCGATGTCTCACGAAAATTATAATCTAATATATATAAAATTCTCGTGTCACAGTTTTCGTTGCCATACTCCTCCGAAACGGCTTGATCGATTTTGATGAAATTTTTTGTGCTTATCCAGTATCTATGAGAATCGGCCAACATTGATTTTTCATCCCCCTAAATGTTAGGGGTAGTCCCTAATTTTGTTTTTAGACAAAATTTTTAATTTCTATTTTTTTATGATACAACATACAAAATCCCTTCTAGGGTGAAAATTGAGGATTGTATGTATAACGCAATTATTTATATGGCAAAAACTCTGTCTACCTCTTCAGTTAGACATAGTTTATGTTTTTAAACTTTTTGGACATTCTTTCTCTCACCTGCAATCCTTGTTTGTTGAAGTTGATGTTGGTCCTGACCGTGCGATGGTGTAGTGGCTGCACTGGACGGGCGTTGTTGCCCAGCGGTGCTTTAGGAGTCAACTGCGATCCTTGCATCAGCTGACGGAGGGCATACATCTGGAAAACATAGAAAGTAGTAACACTATGTCATAATATCTTCATAACTGTGGTTTGGCAGTTAACAAGGATTTTCTTGTAGAGGAAAGTCCCGTAACGCCGGACGGCACCTAACGCCGGACACTTGTATTATCTCGATAACTGATAACACGAGCGGTTCAATTTTTACTAAAAATGTTAGGTGTGACTGGAAGACTTCCCTCTAGAAATTGAATCGCTTGCGTTATTAGTTATCGAGATAATACAGGTCTCCGGCGTTAGGTGCCGTCCGGCAGTAAGGGGATTGCCCCTATATACTTAAAGTTATAGTTTAAACAATAATGTTTAAGCCTTTAACTTCTTTAAACATTGAATGTAATTGTTCCTGTTTTTTGTATTGCTTACTGGTATGTCGAACAGAGATTAAGTATATTACTGTCAGCAAATCGTAATATATAACTACCTAAATATTTGTGAAAACTTGTAATTGGTCTTAATTTAGTCATTGTTATATACATTATTGTTAAATAGCTGTAAGTTTTGTAAACCTATACTAATATTATAAAGAGGAAAGATTTATACCTATTTTTGTATGTTTGTATGTTTGTAATGAATAGGTTCAAAAAGTACTGGGCCAATTTAAAAAAATTCTTTCACCAATAGAATGCTAAATTCTTCCAATTTGAAATAGGCTACATTTCATTTTGAAAAATTTAGGGATCCTTAGTAAAATTTGAACAATGTAACCGAAGGTGTAGAAAAATGAGTCTTAAAATGTCTTTCGTCGAATGCGCTGCCGAAACTATTAGTGATAGAACAAAATAATGTACAACAATATTAAAGAACATCATAATGTCTACAAAAAACTCCACGGTAGCATATGTCCAACTATCGTAGTTATGTCACTACAACAATCCAAATTTCCAAAAATAAATAATTGTCTACCCCGTGCGAAGCCGGGACGGTCTGCTAGTTTAGAAATTAAATGAGATAAAATAGATTCAAATTGATTGTCCAATGAATTGAAATTTTAACTTTTTATAGTTTAGTAGCCAGCAGTTGTACTTAGTTTTTGATTGACAATAACGTGTCTAGTCAAGTGAAATATCGAGTTTGCATTCCATATTAGAATAGAAAAACACATACCTCTTGTTTAGAAATATAAATAGGTTTATTGAAGATTATCCAGACAGCCGTCTCCCAGCACCCGGGGTGTGTCGTAGAGCCTTCGTAAGTCAGGTACTGCTGTGTGTTGGGTAGCAGGGAACTTAGCGGAAGATGTTTAATAGGGAATGAGGCACCTGTCAGAAAATACTTAGGTTAAATGTCTTGTACATTACATTACCTAGTAAATTACACTATCCACTGGAGTAAATGTAAAATATTAGGTACACCTTGAAAATAACAACGACCTCACAGAAAAACGACGTGAAGCAACGCTTGCGTTGTGTTTTGTCGTGTGAGTGAGGTTACCGGAGGCTCAATTACCCCTCCCCTTCCTCAATCTCCCCAATCCCTGAATCTCCAACGTTCCTCAAACTCCTAGTGCCCAAAAAGCCGGTAACGCACTTGTAACACCTCTGGTGTTCTAGGTGTCCATGGGTGACGCCGATTGCTTACCATCAGGTGATCCGTCAGCTCGTTTACCGGCTTATGCCATAAAAAAAAACAAAATTCGTAGTACGTCGTAGCCGTTGTTTGCTACGGCGTAGCAACATTGCTGCGCGTTAACGTTCATCTGTTTTTGAAAAATAAATAGGTATGTCATTTCTTTTATTTATGCGTATTACTATTAACCCTTAGAGTGCCACGTCAATCACCAGTGTCTGATGCTAGTAGAAGTTAGTCTTTCACCGTCTTAAACTTGGCATTTAACGTGTTAAATTTTATTTTTTGTGGTTTTATAAGGTTTGTTATTGTACTCACCTCGATAAGTAACTTTATTGAAAGCACTGGTAACCAATCTAAAATCTGTGTTGATGGGCTCGCCAACCTGAGAGAGGAAATATACAGATAAAAAAATATTATTTTCTTATTCTCTAGCTATCCTTCATTATGTAGGTGGTACTCACCTGTACCATTAGAGAAATGCCGACAATTCCTTGAGACTTATGCTGTGCTTCTGACATGTTGTGGTAAAGTTCTTTATTGAAGCCATACAGTTGAATCTGTGAACAAAAAAGACATGCAATACTCAATACTTTATTGCATTCCATAATGTATGCACCATCATTAGTTATTTTTTATGGAAAAGGAGGCAAACAAGCAGACGGATCAGGATCACCTGATGGTAAGCAATCTGCGTCGCCCATGGACAAAGGCAACACCAGAGTTTCGTTTTAAAAAGGAATACACTCGTTTATTGAAGGTTAATAATTTAATATCATTAAGCAAAAGTTATGTTAGAAATCCGTCTAAAAAATACGTGTTTTGCTCTAGTATACTTCTTAAAAAAATGACTAAACTGGCTAAATTGTCTTATCAACTAGTTTCAGCAATCATTATATTGTAATTGCCATCACAAAATTGATTTTATACACTTCCACTTATATTTTTAAAATTGATACCCAATTATATTAAATTGTCACAGGGCTTATTAGCTAGAAAAGAACATTTCTCTCGATTGGGCCTGTCCTGTGAGTAGGTACATAACGTACGCCACAGATCGTACATAGGCTTAGATTATAAAATACTTACCTTTGTGGTATAAAGATAAATAAATAATAATAATAATACGTACCCTATATTATTCTCTGAAAGGAAGCAAATGATAAAATCTTTCAGCTTAATAAAAAAAATAAATTATAGATAGATCCACTTAAATCTCAGTCCTCATCATTACTAAAAGAATTCATTTTGTATCGCGTATTCGGTCAATTTTCCACCATTTTCATCACATTAAACGTTGCTAAACCTCAATTATCATTGATTTTAATGAGGCAATAATCCACAATGCCCAGTAACGAGTCCCATTAACAAAATACTGTACCACAAATAAAGTTAAAACAGTCATAATGGCTAAATCAAAAAGTCATTAAGATGGACCACAAAACCTCAACCACAGAGTTTCAAATAATCAATGCTAGCTAAAATTTTCGTCACTAGGTACCATCAAATATTTCCATTGATTAAATAGTTGATATTAATGGCTCGGTTTCGAGTATTCAATTAGTATTACTTGTTATTAAAATTGAGACAAGAGTATTGCAATTTAATATTATAATTTAATTATCTGTACTAGTATTTATAGATGTTGTTATTTCTAATAGAAATTGCAGAAGTTTTTAGATTTTATATAAAAACTAGCGGATCCGACAGACGTTGTCCTGCATATCCACTTGAATGTATTAACAAAAATTCATTTAAATTAGTTCAGCCGTTTAGAATAATGAACCTTCTAGGAGGTCGATGACATCCACACGTACAGCAGAATTATATAACATAAAGATAACCACAACAGGGAATTCATATACATCAACAGTAATAATTATGATTCCTAAGAGCGAATCTATTGTTAAACATTAGTAGCAAATATTGTTTTACATCTTATTTTTTATAAGTGGGTGTGTAAAATACTCCATCTACACCACACTTTTCTAAGTATGATGTTTTACATAGAATCGTAGATCAAAATAGCAATTCATTAATTAATAAGTTCACTCAAAATACATTTTTACGAACAGAAAACTGCTAAAATAATAACAAAGTTAAGTCGTGTATTCATAATCAGGTTATTCAACCCCTAAACCCATACATTACTTCGATAGTACTAAATAACGATGGCAGTTTACAAATTAACACTTCCAATGCCACTGTTATCGAGCCCTCATTATTAGCCCCTTGGGGTCTCAAAGACCGAACTTTGACCCCTTAAAGTTTGTTGTAATACCCTAATTATTGACTTCCGCGAGTTATAAAATGTAATTGTATGAGTATATCTTGTAGATGTTCCAATCTCGAGAAATTGTCAAAATGGTATAGAATAGACAATTTTAGTTCAATTTTCTGTTAAAATTGTTAATGACTAGTTTTTTCATCGAGAATTGTATATGTGTCTGTTAAATCAGAAGAACATTTTATAAAACTCTTCCGTCATGTTTTAAGTTCTTGAAAGTATTATGATATAATTTATTGTTTACAATACAATGGTGTCTATAATTGTCCACTTCATAAGAAAACAAAGACAAAATAAATGTACTGATACTTATATGTCCACATATCGCCTTATCGATAAGTATAAAAAGTATTTTAGTAAATGACATTGTTACATTGAATCGTCAAATTGAACTTTAAAATAAGTTAAAAGTTAAAATTTGCATGCTTTAATTATTAAACAAAACATGATGATCTATTGTAACTATAACACCTTTGTATACCATATTTTACGTAAATACATGTCTTTATGTTTATCTTTATCTAAAATATATACGAAATGACATCAAGCAGAAAAAATACCTAGATAATTTAAGAACCCTAAAATGATACACATAAATTATGTCAAATATTTCGACATAATAGCTTTAAAACGATCGTATTCAAAGTTAAAGAGCGAACTTTGGTCGTTGGGACCCCTCGAGCTAATAATGAGTGTTCGATAACAGTGGCGTTTTAGTGTTGACTTGTGAATTTATATATTATCTTCTCTGTTATTTTGTGAACGAATGAACGAAGCTATCTGTGGTTATTTTCTAGTCTTATATACCTACAAAGAAATTAAAAAATATCGGTAAGGTTATTTTTTAGTTTTAAGTAGACTACCCATAAATAAATGTTGTAGCATTTTCGGTAGATATCGATATTTTAGTAATGGTACTTAAAATAGATTTGAGTTCTACCTTTAATAATAGGCTCATATAATAATTTTTATTCATAGTAGGTACTAAGTATTTTACGTGAATTGTAAAGAACAACTATGTTGCCCTATTTTTAAATAGGTAGAAGAAAATAAGATACAAAGTTACCTACTCAAAATTTAGGAAAAAAATTTGTTCGAAAATTAAGAGATTCTCAGTTTGATGACTTGTGCGTGATAATCTCGCAATTGGCTGAACCGTTTTTTATTAGATTTTTAGAAAAGTGTTTGATTGTATCAGGAAATGGTTTTAGTATAATAATTAACCAAATTTAAAAAAGAGAGTACCTACTTTAACCCTTAACTATCCAGAATGCTTTTGTGACGTAACTGACCAGTAGTGTCCAACAGACTCATTTTATAAATGTAAGGTATGATGAAAGAAAAAAAAGATATTTTGAATGAAAAAGACAGTATAATGTATTTCAGTAATGTGTATTTACACTTATTTACTTATAGATATTACAATTATTTTTTTCTCAGAATATTCAGTGCATGTAATGCGTTTGCATTCAGCACAACACTGTTTATAAGCACTTGATAATTTCGAAGGGAAAATATTACAACGCTTCTTCCTTTTTCCATTGTAGCTTGATATATTGGATTGCCAAAGATAGGGCACCAGTATTCTTTAAAATCCACACCTCCCTGTTTATTGACGCTTATAGTCAATAAAAGACCTCGGAGTACTTGCATTTCGATTTTATATCTATTGATTTCCATCGATTTTGTAAAACTCTAAGCCCTTCAGTATTGGTATATTTTACTATTATTTGTAATACGTGATCGTCGAAAAAAAAAGGCTGAAACTGTCTATCAGATCTATTGTAGTTTGACCCGGAGGAGGAAGAATCACCTTATGGATACCACCGCGAATTATGTTGTGTCGAGGCGTTCGGTTTTGCCTGTTAGGTTCTGATTTCCACGTTGTTATCTCTTCCTTTATAAGTGTAAATTGAGACGTATTCTTGTAATCATCATCACTCTTATTCCATAATTGTTCATCATCGTTTTCAGATGCTGGTTCTGTGACATTACTTTCACTATTAGAACAGCTGTCAACAGCAAAATTCTCATCATCACTATCGCACTCATGGACAAAAATGTTCGTATCGTCACGTTCAACAAGGGCACGTTATATTTCACTTTGTGTTAGTTGCCGTTTAGCCATAACATTCAATAAAAACGAATTAGAACATGACTACATTTTGACAAGAGTTTCTGATTACTGATACGTGATACGATTACAAAAACTATGATTATAACACAAACAAAGATCTAGCAACCGCTATTGCCCACCCGACACCATAAGATTATAGGTAAATGTAAATAAAACAATCTACCTTCACACTTGAATCAAATAAAATGATATTGTGTCTCTTGGACACTTCTGGGTTGATGAAGTACTATTTTCGTTTATTGACCAAAAATAATAAATTATTCACGTTACAAATATTTTCATTGCACATTTAGATTCGTAAAACATTGGCGATAAATTAGATAAAAGGCCAATTCATAAAAATAAAAACTTTAGTTTTTATGGAAACATAAACGCAAATTTGTGTCCGCGAGACACTTGTGGGTTGTTAAGGGTTAAAAACGTAATTCATAAAAGAATGAATGAAATAATGTTTATGAGACTAACCTATGGAGTTTCTCTCGTTCTTCTCCATAGGAATCTACACCTTGGAATCAGCAAATAACTTCACTTCAAAATTTTTTGTTGTTGACGTTCAAAAGTGACTTGAATAGGGTGGATGCCTAATATTTATTTTAATATCTGTCTGGTAGATTATTTTAAATCATTAGACACGTATTTTTTATTTTCTCACAGAAACGAATAGTTTCGAAGATATATTGATTTGAAATGTCGCGTGACGTCACTTCTCAGTACATTTTATACTAAGAAATGACGTTTTAGCCCCCACTCTTAAACTTTGATTCGTTTTATCTAAGTATTGATTTATTAGACGACAAAATAAAAAAATACGTGTCCAATATTGTTTCATTACCTAACTTACGGACTAATTATATTTATAATTTTCATACCCTGTCATCATCCCAATTATTGGATCTCTTAGTTATATGAACACGTAACAAACATGTAAATAAATATACCCTACATTTCGGAAGTGGTGTAAACTACAAACTTCTAACATTACCCATAGAAACTACCTATACATAAATACATAACCCCTCCTTTTCACCATTAAACCCCTGCAGCTATACCATAAATTAAATCATCACGCCTTTTATCCTCGAAGGGGTAGGCATAGGTGCACATTATCACTTTATGCCACTGTACAATCACCTACTTTTTACTATTTATGTTATAAGTCCCATGTAATAGGGGGCACAATTCCAGACTCCGTGGTACTACTGAAATTTTATTTAAACTGTCAAACACCGCGAGGACACCGGTGACCGCAACCTATTGTTCTTTAATTGTGTCTATAATGACGATACCCAAAGGGTTAAAAAACCAAGTAATACTTTGCCCGAGCTGGGAATCGAACCCGAGACTCCATGCCAAGCAGTCGCACTTGCAACACATATCATAAATTACTTAACCCTTAACTACTTAATAAAAGCAGAATTAATTTGAAATCGAAGACGGCTCAGAAGTTAGCAAGCGGTTGGAATGCGAGTGCATAGTTCCCAGTTTGCGGTCAGGCGGTCGCATAGTTAGACTACCTGGCTATTGATAAAGGGGAGTCTATGGAATAGTGAACTTACTTCGAACTGAATTTAGTTCAAGTTAATATTTATAGATGTGAAAGTAAGGTTGATGGTTTTTTAAATCTTTACGCTGGTTTTTGATCTGCTTGATTGTGAATGAAATAGATGAGAGTACAGAGAATGACGTAAGCTACTCCTTTTTTATATATTTGATGGGCTGATGTTCCACCGCTATCTCGCCTAGAGGTACTATTTTTAACTTTGTACATTCACGCGGGTACAGGTTTTTTTTTGTTGGATAATCATCCAATGACTTCTTTCGCCCGGATGAAGCGAGTGTCAGACTCTTACTAACTAAAGACCACCCCGTTCCTACTCCTGCACTTCAAGCCGGAGCCCCGGCAACCCGTTAATTCCTCCGTGGCTCTGGCTTTAGTCAGTAAGAGTCTGACAATCCCTCTCCCCTCACCCAGGCGGGAGAAGAGATTCGATGATTTTCCCCCCTTAAAAAAAATACCATAAAAACTACACCTAAGCCATTACATTAACCATTCAATATTACTTTACTAACCTACAAATAGAAATTCAATTCAAGCATTTGCAATACAAAGGAATATAAAGAGAAATGTATTAAAAACCTGCGACAAAGCTGTGATATAAAACATGGTTAAGTTTCCATTGATATATGTAACTATACTTATGCGACACGGCTTTATATCAAGCTTCACAAACCAGTATAACCTGAACGTTGACTGTACTGATAGATCATACGAAGCGAGCTCATGTTATATTGGTTTTTATATAACTCCATGAGCCAAGCTACGCCAACCAGTATAAACTAACCGTTTAACACTAGAAAGACGGAAAAAATCATCTACCTACAAAGACGGCGAGCGGTCAAATGACTGCTCCAAGTTTTTTGATATTTTTTTATGTTTAAGTGCTAGAAATGGTACCTATAGTATTAAACATGGTATAATATACTGTTAATTAAGTAATATGTATAGAATTTCTAATTTTATCATTTTGTTTACATTACAAAAGCCGCGAAGTGGCTTTTTGCAACTGTCGCATTCTTTATGGGTTTTGTTTTGCATTTGTGTATATAATATTTTGGAATTTACTGGATTTTGTGCAGAAGATTGAGAAGTAAAAGATCTAGACTTTTCAGACAAGGATTCAGTTTCAGAGAGTATTCTTCAATTTATACTTTGCTTCTAAGTTCGCCCCCTGAACTTAGTATAAATAGCCTTTGTTTCATGTAATTTCAAATGAAGGAATTATATCTAAAAAGGAAAATTATCTAAATTATGTTATATCTTTGCTAGGTCTCATATATGAAAAAAAAATCTATTTCACCTTTGAGATGCTCGTAACATTTTGTCCAGTATTTGCAAAAAGTTTCACAAGACGCATCTGTATCAACGGATTCATCGACATTTGACCAGTTAGAGTAGATGCCATTTGAGGTGTGTACAAGATACAGTTGATAGTTGTGAAAAGACCTTGATGCTCAGGATCTTCCAAACTCCTTTCACAGCCTTTATCACTACCACAGCAACAACTACAACCACGAGAACCCGACCTGTCAACGTCTGATAAATTTGCTCGAAGTATCTGGTCTTTCAAGTCACTTCCGTCCGTAGAGGAGTTCGAACTGACAAGTAGTACCACATAATCGTCGTCGCTATCACGTTTTGTATTTTTAGAGTCAAAATCAGACTCATCTTCACAAATATTTTGGAAGTAACAAACATTTTTTCATTTTCAAGACTCCAACACGTTGCGACCACAAACTACTTTCAATAATTTCGTAAAAGTTCACAGGCACTTGAAAGATACGGTCTCATTTGATAAACAAACTATAAACAATGAATTAGTGTATATAATTTGTATTCTACCCTCTCATATTACACTTATAAACACTCATTGGTTGTCAGCAGTCAAATGACTGCCGCCGTCTTTGTCGGTAGATCAAGATTTTAAATAATAAATAAAAGAGTTGTGATTTATTTTCATACATAGTTGCATTTAACTAGTAAAATAAATAAAAGTCACAAAGTCTCAGTTTAAAAACTCAAATAGATTTCAAGTCATTTAACATTTAAAATCAAATTGCGGTCAAATGACTGCTCCCGTCTTTCTAGTGTTAATGTACTGATAGATCATATGAAGCGAGATCATGATATACTGGTTATGTATAGCTTGGTCTGTAGTCGTTTACAAAGGTAATATTTTCCGGTACTTACAGTTACATATCAAGTTATGATTAACCAGCTTATTATGGTCTAGTTTTGTATAAACATTCTGCACATTCAAGGACCAATTTATATTGGATTAGTATAGTTCTGTGTGTACAGTCCAGTATGAAAGAAACAAAGAAAGAAAAAAAAATTGCCATTAGACATGATGCTTCAAATATACAAATATATAATTACTATAAAAACAACAGGAAAAAACAATACAACAATAAATAACATGCCCATGACAAAAGGGCTTGCCAACTCAGTATGAGCTGGGCACAGCAAGTACCCAACATTGGTTTTCAGTTGGCACCCTTGCAGTGACGCACAAACGTAATCAACGAAAAATATTTGAAAAAAAAATTAATAAACTATATTTCGTTATAAACATTATGTGGGTAGATGTCTGGTCGTGGATGTACCGAACATCCCGAGAGTATCTATATCCCGAGAGTTATACATATTTTCAACATTGTTATGAATTTATATCGAGAAGGATATTCTGAAATTATTCCTTCGTTAAGGTTGTATGGTTGTAAATTTAATAATACGTATATATTAACATGACTTCTGAGAATGCGTGTATAATAATGATGAGGTTTGTAAAGCATATTTACTGTAATGTTAGATAATATTGGGTACATATTATCCAACAACGGCTGAAGTGTGGGAGAGCCATGCTTCGGATGAGAGACGCATGGGCCGGCTCGACCGGAGTGATACCACGGCCTCACAGGAAACCGACGTGAAACAACGCGTCCATTGTGTTTCGTCGTGCGAGTGAGGTTACCGGAGGCCCAATTACCTGCCCCCAGTCTCTCCAACCCCCGAATCCCCACAATTTTCAAATGCCCAATTACGAAAAGGTTGGTAACACACTGGTGTTTTAGGTGTCCATGGGCTGTACTGATGGCTTACCCTCAGGTGATTTTGATAATAAATAATAATTACCTACTTAAAAACTTTACGAGATTTCGCAAAATAAACTATAGATACACGGTTGGCGCAGTATCTGTTCATGGTTTCTCATAAAATTATGGTAGATACAAGAATCCAACTTACTTCTCCAGGGAAGGTGTGGTGGTCAATCTGGTGTTCAGAACCTCGGTTGTCTTCCATTCCATAATGGAAGTAAATCTCCTCGAACTGGTAGCGGTAGGAGAGGGGTCCTCCACTGATGTTCACCTGGTGCTTCGAATCCTTCTCCACTCGGAAGACCAGGGACTGTCCTGTGTTTTGCAGAACCCCGCTGACCTGGGGATGAAGAAAAGGAGTCTTTAGTATTGTTTTCAAGATGTCCTGCAGTGATGACAGAATAGATAGAAGAATACATTTATCACCCGCCTAAATCTTCTCGTGGGTGTAGCTGATATACGGAGTGGATATTTAATATAGACTGGTAAATAGTGCTCTCTTATAAACCTGTATGTTGATCATTGATACTAGGTCCTGTATTCAGTATACTGCATTAATGCGTGTCACAAGATTCATTGACATTGAATACATCTATATATATAAAAATGAAACCTCTTTCCAGTTATCACGTCATAACTTGAGAACGGCTAGACCGATTTGGCTGATCCTTTTTGTTGTGTTTGTTATTGTCAGGAGAAGGTTCTTCTTCAATCAATCCCTTCAATCCCTAAAAATTTAACGGGAACGGGAGAAAACGGCATTGCGCGTACGATTTCGCGGGCAAAAGCTAGTTGCATATATAAATATATTCCCGATGTGAGTACACGCCCTTATTAAATGTGAGTCATAACATAACAAGCCTATAATCTATTGAACACATTTAAATTAAGTAAAAATATATAATCTACTAGTACTAATATCAATTAGACCAAATCAAGGACAAAGAGACGATCACCTAAGTAATTCAATACCACGAAAATAACCTAATCAAGGTTAAAAAGACACAGCTGATATAGCTAATGGAGGATTAAAAAACTCCAGACTAACACCAAAATAATAATGAACACGAATTGCTATGAATCACACGGCTCCCCATGGGGTGTTTCTATCAATCAATGGGTCGCATCTTGATTAGAACCTGGCAACTTATGCGCTTTGAGTGGAGATGATATATTGCGTGTTGACACGCGAACAACGAAGATCTAAAGATTATGAAAGTGTCTTCGATATAATAGTTATTGTAAAACAGATGTTATATTGCTGTTTTATGCACGAAAAGCCAATTTTCCAATAATAATTGTATTTTTTTTTATCATAAAATTAGCAACAGTAAACATGGAATAAAATTTTTAATTGCAATTTTAAATGACTCCGGTACCCTCAGACCTCACTCATAAAATGAAATACAACTTCAAAAGAATAGGCGGACCCTTCACTTTTGATGTTGTCTGGTGTCTATGGGCGGCGCTGCTCATTGCTACCAGATTATCCGTCTGCTGGTCCTATCTTAATTATCATCGTCCTACAGTCCTGTGAGTTCACCGATGGACGATGGATCTCCTCTACAAAAGGGTTTCGCCCTTATCCTATTAACATATTCCAATATTCCTTAGCACTTCTATATTTTGTACATTCATTGTAATTTAGTTGAGGGAGTGACTTGCCTCGCGGTCGTAGATAATGTTTATGTAAGAGATAGCCACGAACATTTTTCTTTAATAAATTACTTTAAAGACTGTTCTTGATATAAGTTCAAGTAATTTGGGCGCCTACGAGTTTTGTAACAATACGTTTAAGTACCTACTTCAGTAATTTTAGTTAGGCACAACTTTGAATATAAAAAATCTAGCGTATTGTTTAATGACGATGCTAGAGTAAGATATATTATATTATGTAGTTCTACTCACTCTGCTCTTTCCGTCGATGTTTTACGAACTAACAAAGGAACTTCATATTTGACCGACAGAGACCCTTTTTTTTAAGATGGAAAATCATCGAATGACTTCTCACGCCTGGGTGAGGCGGTACGGAGTGTCAGATTCTCACTGACTAAAAACCACCCCGTTCCGTCTCCTGCACTTTGAGCCGGAGCACCGGTAACCCGTTAAGTTTTGCAGTGCTCTCGTATAATCTACCTTTATTTTTATTTGACACTCCCTCTTATGTACAGAAGCAGAAGATACATTGTTCAGTTGTGGACTGTCATTTATTTATTTATTTATCATTTCATGTGTACCATACAGCAGACAATAATACAGAGGACAATACATTAAAAGCATAAGGTAAGCAAGCATAGGTCATTGTAAATGATAATGAAATTAACGACGATCTATTTTAGTTATTTTACTGCTAAAGAAAACCTATAATAACAAGATTATAGATTGATACTTTAAAAGATTGATGATAGTAATTACACTTTTATAAAAGAGAAATTATTTGAAATTAAAACTAGTATTTGCCTAATAGATGCGTACTATGAACTTCTGATATTCGTTTTAAAGTAGAGAATCGGTATTATTTTTCAAGGGCATAATATGTATTATCATATTACGCAATTCGTTTTAGAAGCAAAACTAGATCCTAGAATATAATGAGTCCTAGTCTATTTCGTAATTTATTTTAAACTTATGATGTTTATCTATTTTGGCTCATGTAAGCGTAGTCATACTCATTTACTGGGTACAATTTCATCCCAAAACAGACTTATTGAAAACCAAAATAATACTTTACTTAACTCAATAATCGGACCCAACAACTATAGTACACTGTTGTTACCAGTTATATAATTCTTATTCAAATTTGGTAATGTAGACAAATTAGGTAAATTTAATTTAATTGATACAGTGTTCTCAACTCAATACATGCTGTGATTGATGTCCTTCAAATGTTGTGCATTAGCAGTAAGATGTTAATTCCTAATTTTAAGTTAATGATGAAAATATAGCAACAACTGGATTCCCAAATAAATAAATAGTACTTGAAACGACTTAACCAATAACTATGACACTAACAATTCGATAACACTACTAATAAGAAGTTTAGTAATGATCATATTATATTTTCCCTACACATAATTCTTTAATACACTATCGTGGCTTCCATGGGGAAGCTACAACCACACAAAGCCACCCCTAAACGGGCGCAGTGTATGTTGCAAAAACGTGGCCGATAGCCTATCGGGCTATCGCGAGTCGCATACATTAGCATCGCATTGAGCAAGCTTGCAACATACACTGTAATGAATAATTCTGAACGAATGTTACATTTATTGAACATACACCGGCTATGTTGTAAGTAGCCTTTGTATGATTTTCTTTTGTTTTTTTGGAGTTTGTAAGATAGATTTTATTATGATCTTCTAATTTTTCTATTAGTTCCCATTTGTCAGTAATTTTTTTACTGTAGAATAAAATCGTCATTTAGAGTTTTTAGTACCTGCCTCAATTTAAATTTATGTGGCGTGGCCGTTGGAGTTGATTTTTCAATACTAAGTTAAATTTTATCAAACGCATAACTTTAAATATTGGACAATTCTTCCATACTGTCAAGTATCAATTATCTATTATTACAGTTAAGAATTATCTATTGAACGATAATCGGCCCTTAGATTGTTTTTTTAAGGAATAGGAGGCAAACGAGCTGCCCTATCACGAGCTGATGGTAAGCGGTCAGCGCCGCCCATGGACACCCGCAACACCAGAGGAGAAACAGGTGCGTTGCCGGCCTTTTAAAAAGGAATATGCTCTTTTCTTGAAGGTTTGAAGGTCGTATCGGTTCGGAAATACCGCCAACGACAGATCAGTGGCCTGCCAACCATCTATATGGTGGGGATGCATGTTTCTGGAATGGGTCACCCATTCTGAAGGAACTACTAGATTAATTCGTTAGTCTTGTTGTCCTAAATTATTTTGCTTATCACGATGAAAGAGCGATAACTAGATTGAGAATATTATTTCTTTGATAACTTCTTCCTCCATTTTTCTACCTAATGGTCTATTGTAGGTTTCATTTTATCTCCATTTTTTATCAATAAAGACATTTTTTGGTTGCTCTGTTGCATATATGTATGAATATTGTATTGGAAATGTCAAAACTACTATTTATCCGAATAAAAATCGTTGAGTATGTAACTAGCCTTATTCCTACAAATTACGTCAAAGGATGGTAGCATTTTTTACTAGTTTTAATGGATATTACGTGTTTGTAATTACGAAGGTATCAATTAGGGGTCTACGTACGTGTCCGGACATAGGATGGTGCCTATTTATTATAGGTAACGTAACACTGACAGCTAACAGCTAGTTCTTTGAATTAGTAATTGGATAAATTATTTATTTATTTTGTGTTTATATACACTTTGTTATATAGTGACTAAATGAAAGTAGATTGGCGGACAGGGAATTGGTAAAAACATAATTATGAATTTGTTATAATTTTTTTAAAGGGGGCGAAAATCATCGAATGACTGCTCCCGCCTGGGTGAAGCGGGAGGGAGTGTCAGACTCTTACTGATTAAAAACCACCCCGTTCCTACTCCTGCCCTTCGAGCCGGAACCCCGGCAACCCGTTAAGTCCTCCGCGGCTACGTATCGGCATCAGCCCTATTAGACCCCATCCGTGGTGGTCTGATGGCTGTACGAGCCGCCGTACGCTCGCGTCTGGTTCTGGTCGGGCGGCGAGCCACCCATACTCGCCGTCCGCAGGCCGCGCTTACGCTGGCCGGAGATCGTAATTTTGTTATCATATTATATTTACCACACTTTTTTGCAAAAGTGTAGTCTGGCTTTTGCTCATTAATATTTATTTTAAAAACGTTCTCAATTTATTCACTTTTGCACTGTTATTATGAGTCCCGTGTTTGATTTCTGAGTAACGTATTAATTGGTGTTTCATTCCTAAAATCTTAGTAGATAACAGCACAAGCCTATTTCGAAAGATTGCGCCAATTCGTTCACTATCATACCTAACTGGTGAAAAATGTTAAGCAATTGCGCTCCTGCCTAACCCTTCCAGATTAAAATATATAATAACATAACATAACATCACGCCTTTTATCCCCGAAGGGTTAGGCAGAGGTGTACATTACGGCACTTAAAGCCACTGTACAATGTAATGTAACACCAACTTTTCACTATTTATGTTATGAGTAACGATGGGGTTGACGTATCCATATGGACAAAATTCGCCTTAAAATAATAAAATTAAGGAGAATAAAAAAATGTATGTTATGAGTATCATGTAATAGGGGGTGAGCCTATTGCCATATACCGGGCACAATCCAGACTCTATGCTACTACTGAAATTTTTTGAAAAAGCCCAATAATACTTTACCCGACCCGGGAATCGAACCCGAAACCCCTTATCCGACAGTCGCAATTGCGACCACTCGGCCAACGAGGCAGTCTAATAAAATATAATAATTATTGTATGTGTAAAGGTTCACAGATATTCAGCTGTTTTTATCTTGTAGGCTTATGTTAATGTTCGTTGGAAATCGCGTAAAGTTGTAGTGCAGTGTTGTCGCAGGCTTAACATGTTTTTGCATAGGATTAACGTTAAAATGGCCGTCCATGTAATGTTACCGGTATAAGACCTTTCATATTGATTTGTCGCACGTTTTTTGTGAAGTTAAATTATTATTTTGAAAGAGAAAAATCACGGAATTACTTTGTTTTTAACGTTGCCTCACACTAGGATTTTCTCCTGTGTCGTGGGTGCGTTTACAAACATACAAGTTTACACACACATGACACCCAGACCCGGAACAACTATCTGTGGATAACACAAATAGTTGCTCCGTGCGGGATTCGAACCCGCGAGACGTAGCGAGGCAGCCAGTTGCCCAGTTACCAACCGTGCAGTGGAGTTGTTGAGAGGGAATGTTAGATTATTACTGACTATAAACCACCCTTGTAACTCCTTGTGCTTCTCGATAGACGTGAGAGCAGAGTGGCTGGGGGGCGGAGAGGATGCACAGCGAATGCACCACCAACACACCGCGGTTGCGAAGCGAACACGTCGCGGACGCGTGGCATATACGATACGTTTTCGTCGCTTATTTGTAGTCAATTATCACCGTACAATAATGGCGTCTATGTTACTGTTCGTGGCGATACTGTTGCGCGTCCGCAACGCTCACGTGTTCGTTGTGTGTCCGTAGAGAATTCGTTGCGCACCCGCTCCGCTTTGAAGACGTTTTTTTTTAAGGGGGAAATCATCGAATAACTGCTCCCGCCTGGGTGAGGCGGAAGGGAGTGTCAGACTCTTACTGACTAAAAACCACCCCGTTCCTTCTCCTGCACGTCGAGCCGGAGCCCCGGTTACCCGTTAGGTTCTCCGCGACTCCGAATCGGCATCGGCCCTATTGGGCCCCATCTGTGGTGGTCTGATGGCTCTTTGAGGCGCGTCGCGTTCCGCGCGCTCGGGTCTGTTTCTGGTCGGACGGGGAGCCACCCATGCTCGCCGGCCGCAGGCCCGCGCTTACGGTGGCCGGAGATCGTCCCGCGGCTTTGAAGACGTTTGCTATCCGTTAATATTATATGGCCCTTAGAAATTTGTCGTATCCTTAAGAATTTTGTGAAGATCTCTCTTAATGATCTTTTGCACTCTTTAAGAAGACTTTATCTTCTACCTGCTGAGAGTATTGTTTACTTCGTTACTCCATTCACTCCTTAGGAGAATGGATAGCTTAATTTACTTTTTTCGTATATTGTTTATAAAACTAAGTAGACATCATAACATAACTTCACGCCTTTTATCCCCGAAGGCAGAGGTGCACATTTCGGCACTTAATGCTACTGTACAATGTTACACCCACTTTTCCCTATTTTATGTTCCCATGTAATAGGGGGTGAACCTATTGCCATATACCGGGCACATTACTAGACTCCGTGCTACTACTGAATATTTGTTTTTAATCCAGTAATACTTTGCCCGACCCGGGAATCTAACCCGAGACCCCTTGCCCCGCAGTCGCACTTGCGACCACACGGCCAACGAGGCAGTCAAAACTAAGTTTATAAACGTATCTATACTACAAATCAATATCTTAACATACCTTTACATGGTAAAGTAGTTGTTATTATCTATCAAAATCCATCTCATCATGCTCGTATGTAGTGAACTTAACACGTTCATATTGGTAAATTTGTTACCGCATTGTACCTTCGTGAACATTGATTTTAAACATACAATGTAGGTACTTGTACTTAGTAGGTTAATATCCATAATGTAATGCAGAATGTATGTAAATAATGTCAGTTAACTGCAGCTAGTTCGTGAAAAATCTAAATTGGCAAGCAAAGCCGATGTTTTTTCTTGTTTATTGGTACAATAGATATAAATAGATTGCCTTGTCAAGATTTTTTTAACATAACATAACTTCACGCCTTTTATCCCCGAAGGGGAAGGCAGAGGTGCACACAGAAGTAACATCCACTTTTCACTATTTATGTTATGAGTCCCATGTAATAAGGGGTGAGCCTATTGCCATATACCGGGCACATTTCCAGACTCCGTGCTACTACTAAGTTTTTTTTTAAATCCAGTAGTACTTTGCCCTACCTGGCAATCGAATCCGAGACCCTTTGCCCAGCAGTCGCACTTACGACCATTCGGCCATCGAGGCAGACATTTTTTTTTTTAATTACTGAATCAAAAATGGTACTTAAAGCTACAAACCTTGTGTTTATCAAACTGTATGTCCCTCAGCCAGGGGTCGAACAGCAATTTGTCTGGTTCTATATTGACAGGGGATTGTCGCCGACCTTTGTTGCACATACTCCATTGCGGGTTTATCAGACCCCAGAATCCTGGACCTGTGAAGAAGAAAAAGAACTATTTATTAAATACTCCAAGCAAATAATGAAACACAAGTTATCCTAAGATATATTTAAATAGCTAATGCCATAAACGCCACTCAAATTTAACTCGCGCTCCAGTATAATTCTGTCTCTACAAATTCTTTGCAAAATGATAGAGATGGCACGATAGAGTAGCCTTTCAGTATTTGGGTAAAGTTCTTGATGCAAATACTTTTTTAATCAACTACTAGACTCACATAACGACGACCCGCCAGCCAGGTCTGGAGGTTATGTCAAACCCTCTCTTGTGGTGATAGTCAAGCAAGAACACTCATGAGCAGTTGGTAATATTTTAGATAATTTGATATTTGATAACACAACGCGAGGGAGGTTACCGGATGTCCAATTACCCATTTCCCCCCTTCCCCAATCTCCCCAATCCCTGAATCCCCAACAATCCTTTAATTCATACATAACATCATCACGCCTTTTTATCCCCGAAGGGGTATGCACATTTTGGCACTTAATGCCACTGTACAATGTAACACCCACTTTTCACTATTTAAGTTATGAATCCCATGTAATAGGGGGTGAGCCTATTGCCATATACCGGGCACATTTGCAGACTCCGTGCTACTACTGAGATTTTTAAAAACCCAGTAATATTTTGCCCGACACGGGAATCGAATCCGAGACCCCTTGCCTGGTAGTCGCACTTGCTCGGTCAACGAGGCAGTCTTTAATTCCTAATCTTAATCCCCAAAAGGCCGGTAACGCACTAGTAACGCCTCTAGTGTTCCAGTTGTGTCGCGGAGAACCTAACGGGTAACCGGGGCTCCGGCTCGACGTGCAGGAGAAGGAACGGGGTGGGTTTTAGTCAGTAAGAGTCTGACACTCCCTTCCGCCTCACCCAGGCGGGAGCAGTCATTCGATGATTTCCCCCCTTAAAAAAAAAAGTGTTCCAGGTGTCCATGGGCGACACCGATTGCTTACCATGATCCGTGTCTGCTCGTTTACCGACGTATCCAATAAAAATAAGGCATGTTAAAATAACGTAGTATTTAAAGTGTATTCACTTTAAATACGGGTGTCTTATCTATGGGTATACGGTCCCTTAAAAACACCCATACTATGGAAAAACAAGTAATTTTTTATGTGTTTTATTTATTCATAGCCAATCCTAAAGGTGCAGTCGTAAAACAAAATTTCACTATTTTATTGTTTGTTTCACTTTTATTACTGTTAAATCGACGTTAAACTTTTCAATTGTAACTTTTACAACACATGGAATATTGCAATAACTCTATCAGATAGGTATATGTTTTTTTTTATGGCACGAGCAGACGGATCACCTGATGGTAAGCAATCGCCATCGCCCATGGACACCTGGAACGTTGGGGATTCAGGGATTGGGGAGATTGGGGAAGAGGAAGGTAATTGGGCCTCCGGTAACCTCACTCACACGACGAAACACAACGCAAGCATTGCTTCACGTCGGTTTTCTGTGACTCCGGTCGAGCCGGCTCATTCGTGCCGAAGCATGGATCTCCCACACTTATGTACACAAAAAATGTCATAACATTAAAATCTTTTATTATTTCCCAAAATTTAAAAGAATATGGAGTTCACCTACGTTTAAAGGTTACCCCCATACTAGAATATCTCCTGTATCATGAGAGCATTTATAAATAAACCCATAACATTTATACCAGGAACAAAGATTTGTTGATCACACAAAGAACTGTTCCATATAAGGATCTAACTTGCATTTCGCTTTTTCAAGGGGGGGGGGGATCATCGAGTGGTTTCTCCCACCCGTGTGAGACGACAGGGAGTGTCAACCTAATACTGACTAAAAACCACCCTAATCCTGCTCCTGCACTTCGAGCCGGAGCCCCGGTAACGTTCTCCGGTTTTGCAGCTCCGTATCAACATTAGCCCTATTGGACCCCATCCGTGGTGGTCTGATGGTTCTGTAAGGCGCGCGTGGAACGCGATGCGTGGTACGGTCGGAGACCTACAACACATTACACAGAAGCCGATGATGTGCCGATGCGCCAATCATAACAAGTCAAACATAAATCTCTATTAGTTAGCAATCATATAAACCTAGTATTTAAATACTACTGATAACCTTGGACAACCTAAACAAACACTAAATTACATCCATCCGAAACAAAATTTTAATACTATAGATAGCCTTCAGTGACACTATCAGTTCGTCGATTGTATATTTGTGAACAAAAAATACACAAAGCAAAACTAATAAAAATACAACCACCATCATTTGAAATTGCTATCGTCTATTGATATGGCAGTTAAGATGCTATCGCAACCATAACATTCACTTGCCATCGCATTTATGACACTCCATACGTAATTAGGGCTATAGATTTTTTTAATGACACTCTTTAATGCATAGATTAAAAATATTTTTTAATGTTCACGGATATAATTACGAGTATATCTTAATTGTGATGATCGACAATGATCTTTCGACCATTTCAAAATACATTATTGTATAGCCGTTATTTGAAAAACTAAATGACCTTTTTTTATTTTGGAGGTATGCAAAATACAGAAGATTAAGCTTCTGTCGCTTATTTAAGCGTCATACCTATACATATTTTTAACTTGAGTCGAATGGTGAAACAATCATAGTATTCCTCTTATAATTTGAGCATAATACATATTTCCTTATTGTGGTTATAGCATTAATATCGACAATAATGACTGCCTCGTTGGCCAAGTGGTCGCAAGTGCGACTACCGAGCAAGGGGTCTTGGGTTCGATTCCTAGGTCAGGCAAAGTATCATCCCATTGCATTTATTTCAATTAAACCATAATTTGATACTTTTGAAACGTCAACAAATACAAAATAAATAATAGTTTGTCACTCCATCAGTGAAACTAGGTGAAGCTAGGCGCTTATTCCAAAATGTAGATTCGAATGGAGAAAAATGAGCAAGAAACTCTATTCGTTACTCTTTGTATGTACCTTATCGATCTTAGATTTTTTTAAATCACCAAATTGATTTACATGTCTAAAACATTGTCCGCTCAAACACCCCATAAATGAAGCATTAAAACCCTAGAAATTCACTACACAAATCAAATCAAATTCAAATTACATACATTTCAGAAGAGATTAGTAATAAATGTGATGGTGAAACCAAAATTGCGTAAAGCGTTATTCAAATGGAAGTCTATTCAACCCTGTAATAAACCGCGATATCATTCAATGGGGTCACGGGGACCGCAAAATTTGGTCACCATAGTGTATTGAGTCGTAGGTAATGCGTAGTGAAGGGTTTACGCTGCTATGCTGTATTGGAGGTCATTAGCATAGACCAGATTTTGCCTATAGGAGGTAATGTCTGTAGTTTTAACTGACTTCGCAAAAAGGAGAAGGAAGGTTTAGGGGCACCAAATTCTTTACTTTTAGTGGATGTCGAATTATTGCTCCAATTATTAATGATGATGATAATGAACAAAATTTGTCGATTTTTAAAACGAAGTTTTTTTAATGGTACAAGCTCGCCAAACCGCTGCAACTCCTATAAGCCTAAATTAAGCCTAAAGGCACAAAGAAGAGACTGTACAACTGGGTGAAGCCTAGTCACCAAGCACCACGGAAATTTGACTAAAAAAAGTGGGTCCTATGTGTAAAACGAAGTTTATTAAAAGGTTGGTTGAGCTGTCTTGGTGGAAATTTATATGCATTTTGAGGAATGAGGATATCTAGCTATCGAGTGGTTGGAAGTGCTACTGTCAGTATAGGAAAGGTTTCTTACACCAGTGGTACATGAATAAAAAAATCTTCTTGTCATGCCAACACTCGCTCTATAAATAAACGAATCATGTAATTTTATCTACACCTCAATAAAGGAGTAATCCTACCAAAAACCACAGAAAACATAAAAAGAAATCTCCAAATTCCATTGTAAGTAGGTACGTTCAAATTTCGGGTCGGTCGAACATCGACTATCCGATATAATGACATGGTTGAGCGCGCATTATCATTAAGATACTATCTATGATCATTACCGTCCCCATTATATGGATGTATGGTAGTATGACCCCGATATACGTGTCATTGAGACTGTGTTGCTGTGATTCTACCTGTGATGTAATAGACCTGACCTTTTCGTCCTTTTCCTATAGAGGTCATTTTGGATACTTCAAAATATTGATTTGAAAGAAGTTATTTTTAATCAGTGTTATTGTAAATGTGTTAAATGACAGAAATCTGGTGGTGCCGGGCAAAGGGTCTCGGGTTCGATTCCCGGGTCGGGCAAACTATAGCTGGGTTTTTTTTTAAAAGTCTCTGTAGTTGCACGGAGACTGGAATTGTGCCCGGTATATGGCAATAGGCTCACCCCCTAATTACATGAGACTATGGGAGTCATAATATAAATAATGAAAAGTGGGTTTTACATTGTGTAGTGGCATTAAGTGTTGTATTATGCACCTCTGCCTACCCCTTCGGGGTTAAAAGGCATACGTTATTCTATGACTAATTCCAGGATGCCAACTGATGATAATAATGTATTCAATATGAACTTATTTTATGTTTATCGTAAAATTCATAACACAGTATAGTTCAAAATATATTATTGTGTATGTGAAATTTAAATATTTCGTTAGACATTGTAACAATCTGATTATAATTGGCTATTGAACAGAAATATGTCAAATTAGTAGCTAATGATAACGGTATAATAGCGGTCTGTGAGTATTATATCTGATTGTACGTGGATAGTGGATAGTACCAAAACGTATTGTTTTAAATAAATCGATAGACAATTTTTATAATTGATGTTTAATATCACTTCCTTGTTGGTTTGGTATTAGAATTGACTTCTAACTATTTATTTATTTATTTAACCAACAATTGTTTACACTATAAACATACATTACTGATTAAATAGCAAAAGAACCATTTACAAGAGCAACAATTAATTTTATGTTAACACCACATGCAAAAAACAGTAAACAACAATATAGAAAAATTAAAATAACAAGTGATTCCATAACATAACACAAAAAGAAAAAATAATGCATTATAATAATGTATTTGATTATTAGAACATTAAATTTAATTATAGTGTTAGGTTTAGAATCCTCAATTTCCCCAATCCCTAAATCTGTAACAATCCTCAAACGCCTAATCCCCAAAAAGCCGGTAACGCACTTGTAACATGGGCGGCGCCGATTGCTTACCATCAAGTGGTCCGTCTGTTCGTTTACCGGCCTATGCCGTAAAAAAAATGTAGAGTGAAACGTCAGCTAACGCCCGAATACTGAAAGACTAGGTACTCAATTTTAAGTCGCGCTTAAGTATAGTTCTGTCGCTACAAATTGTTTGTAAAATGACAGAGATGGCACGATATTTAAGTACTAAGTACTAGTAAAGCAGCTAAACATTACTCAATCTTAAGATACTTATGAGTTATGTGTTATTTTAGTCACGTACCAGATATACCGTCGTACGTCCACCATTCTTCCCAGCTACCGGATATATCTGAAACAAAAGTGTTATTGTAAATCAAAATTAAACATTCCGTAATTGTTATATCATAACACTGCAGTTAATCAATTATGATCTAATCATAGCTACAACAAAAATGAAGTTAAAAAGAATGTCTCCTCTTAGGAAAAAAGAGGTTTGTTTTTATGATGACTATCGAGAGACATACTAAATTAACTGAAAATCGCGGGTTACTCACGTGAATATACTGAGAAAAGCTCTACTAGTTTCGAACCACAGAGGGGGTCTTCCTCATGAGCAGCGTGCGCGGTCGCGGCTATGTCACGCAGTCTACGCTGTTCGTGACGAAGAAACTAGTAGAGCTTTTCTCAGTATATTCACGTGAATAACCCATAAGTAAAAGGAGGTTTTTTTTAACATTAATCGATCTATAATAACCCTGATACTGATGGTTATACAGACACAGGTTTAATTCTGAACTATAGACAGTAACAACTATGAATTGTTACCAGGAACCCATAGCCCTGTGGCTACTAACGCCAGCGGTAGCTTCCGTTCCGTATTCGAAGCAAGTTTGTGCAAACGGGAGGCGATGCTAACGTTTGTTTACGAATGGTTTAGATTACTGCTAACTCGTAATATGTACCTTTTAGGAAAACAGCTGTTTCCTAAAATGTATTGTCGACCTCATCGTTCGCTTAATAAAATTGACGTGTAAAAGTGCTGCCTTGTAGCCCATTTGCAGAAATAAATTCACTTGTTTCACTTGTTATTATGAGATGAGTAGTGTACATAGTAGGAACAACAACAGAGGTTTCGAATGATCCTTTATTTGGAACTTCTGTTAAAACAGCCAAAATTCTTAACTTTATTGTAAGGGTGTGTTCACATCTGGGTAATGTGTCGCGAATGTTCCACTCGCGAGCGGTTTGCGAGCTGCGCGCGTGCAATCACGGCTATGGTTTGGTGCTCAACTCATATAAGGTTCATATAAATAATAATTTTATTTGCACGCGCGCAGCTTCCGAGTTTCGCATTCTTGGAGCATTCACCAGTTGTGGACGCACCTTAAGACTCATAGGTTTTGTCGGCAAGGGATCTTAAAGTCGGCTATATATAACTTTTTCATCTAATTTAATGCACATGTCAATAAAAAAGAATTTAGCCTCTGTAGGTTATAAGAAACGACAGAAAATTTCAATTGATTTTAGATTTATCCTCGAAAAAAAAGAGATAATTATTAAGGGCCGTTTTTTCAATCATCAGTTAACTCCTAATTGTAGAATAAAATTGACATTTGACAGTTTTTAGTATGGAAGAATTGACAAATATTCAAAGTTATTCCTCAGTTAAAAATTAACTGATGATTATAAAATCGGCCATTTACCTATTTTCGTAATTTTAATGATATAAAAATAGAATTACCTTTGACGGAGACGCATAGGAGGACGAGTATGAAGAGCGAACATTGGTGCATCGTGTTGATGCGCCGGGTCACAACGGACCGCTCATCTGGCTGATACTACTTCTGAAACAAAAGAAATACTATATTTTAAAACGAACTCGAAATTCCTTTGTTTGGTTCGTTTCTAAAATGCATTTACAACACATCTAGACTCAGAATAACAATAGTTAGTAGTAGTTAGTATCCTAAATTTTATTACATTACTAGCTACTTCCGCGCGGTTTCACACGCTCTGCTCAGATCAGACACTACGACCAATAGGTCGTAGCGTGATGTTTTATAGCCTATAACCATCCTCGATAAATGCGCTATCCCACACAAAAAGAATTATTCAAATCAGACTTGTACGGAGATTAGCGTGTTCAAACAAACAAAAAAAACAAACTCTTCCGCTTTATATAATACCTCTAGTATAAGATGACTGTCTGGTAGATTATTTCTTAAAATTAGGTGTATTTTTTCATTTCTTACAAAATTAAATACTTTCGACGATATATTGATTTGAAATATCGTGTGATGTCACAATTTACTACATTTTATAGGGTAGCGTGACGTAACGACGTCCCACTCCTAAACTTAACTCCGTTTTATCTAAGTATTGTTTTCTTATACGACAAAATAAAAAAATATGACGTGTCTAATATTTTTTCATTATCTAACTGACTAGTTAGGGCTAGTTACATTTTTAATTTTCATATACTGTCTATTAGCCCATTTGTCGTTTTACCAGTTTAAGTAAAAATAATAAAGTTTCAGTTAATAAGGTTCAAATTAAATCGCAACGTCTGAGGAAAGTATTGAGTTTTTAGTACTAGGGCCGTGGCCAGGGTTGTAGTTAGAGCGCAATCAATACGGTTTCGGTAGCAGGAGTAGGAACGGAATGGTTTTTAGTCAGTAAGAGTCTGACACTCCCTCTTGAGTCATCTAGAGTGGAAAAAGTAGGAGCTCATCATTAGCAAGTATACTTTTTATAGCGTAAGCCGGTAAACGAGCAGACGGATCACCTGATGGTAAGCAATCGGCGCCGCCCATGGACAACCGAAATACCAAGGCGTTACAAGTGCGTTACCGGCCAAAATAAAATATACCACTATCAATTTCTTTTAAGACCAAAAAGCCTTATATAACATTCATTCACTAAAAATTTTAACATTCTTTCTTCTTTAGAAATAACAAAACAATGCACTCGTATTTTTGTTGTTGTCAAAACAAATAATACTCTAAAATCACATGACAAAAAGATTAATTTTGTTTGCATGTGTAAAGTTCATTAACACTGCCACTGTATATTTGTCTTGTTAATAGCAACAGTTCATTACTAATTAGGTTTCTTGTGACGAACATTTTGTTTTCAAATAGTTTTTATTCAAAAAGGTTGAGTTTAATTTAACTGTTGAACTGAAAAATCATCATCATTATATCAGCTATAGGACGTTCTCTGCTGAACAAGTGTGGTTTTAAGTATGGGAGAGCCATGCTTCGGTAGGAATGGGCCGGCTCGACCGGAGTGATACCACGGCCTCACAGAAAACCGACGTGAAGCAACGCTTGCGTTGTGTTTTGTCGTGTAAGTGAAGATACCGGAGGCCCAATGACCCTCCCCTTACCTAATCTTACCAATCCCCAATGATCCTCAAACTCCTAATCTCCAAAAGCCGGTAATGCACTTGTAACGCCTCTGGTGTTCCAGGTGTCCATGAGCGACGCCGATTGCTTACCATCAGGTAATCCGCGGCTCGTTTATCGGATTATGCCATAAAAAACCATTCCCAACTCTATCCCGATTTTTGAAACATTTTCATCAATATTTTGAATAAAACGGATCCTGAAATTGTGCCTGTTGTATGTCAATAAGTTCATCCTTAATATAAAGAAATGAACTTCAGGTTTGCCAGCCAAAGGACTAAAGCTCTTAAGTAGAGGTGCCCCAAGCTCCACTACTTCGTAGACTGACTTAGGTCATTGACAAAATTAATAAATTCTGTAGATAACAGAGTGTATAGTTCTTTAAGATCGGACAAGGAGGATCCTCCGACCAGGTGAGGTGATCGTGGCTGGCGGGCATTCTGCCCAACAGTTGTTCGTTGGGATTTTCTGACGTAACACCACGCCTTTTACCCCCAAAGGGATAGGCAGAGGCGCACATTATGCCACTGTACAATATAACACCCACTTTTCACTATTTTTGTTATGAGTCCATATAATAGGGGGTGAGCCTATTGCCATACACCGGGCACAGTACCAGACTCCGTGCTACCACTGAGAGTTTTTTAAAAAACGGGTAATACTTTGCCCGACCCGGGAATCGAACCCGAAGGAGGGACCACTCGGCCAACGAGGCAATCATGGGATTTTCTATCTATTTTGTGACGTCATCAGTTGATTTGTGTCATGTGTCGCCACAATTGCAAAAAACAATCACAGATAGAACTAATGGTGATTGTTTCTGTTATAACAAATCCTAAAATCCTCAGTTAGCCGGCGGATTCATTTGGGATGCTGTACTTATCTCGTCTCGGTTAAAAAGACAACATCTTAGGAAATTACCCTTTTTATCTTAACTTTGGTGGCTTATAGATAAGGATGTTTCTCTCATTCTCTTACTAATTAACATTGAACTCAATGCTTTGGTATTATCTTTATTTGTTTCTTCTGCTATCTTAGTATGTCTGTTTTATAATGTCATGCTTCGTCTGGGGTATGGAAAAATTAATCTTAATTCTATCATTATTTTATTCTTAAGGACTTCGACAATAATTGTTTATCAATAGTTGTGCAACTGCAAAAATATTCGAAATAAAAAACGATCGGTAGATAAAAACATGTCAGTACTTCGTAATATTCTAAAAGAGCAAAAAAGAACATTTTTTAAAAATATGATTCGGATTCTTAATGTCAACAAAAAAAATTGTTTATAAATTTATTGATCGCTTTATATTACGGTTACTTTATAAATGTTGTTGAAGAAATCGTAGACAATTTATCATGTGCCAGCTACCAACAATAAACATCCCATCAAAATCACAAACAAAACCACTCATATTTCAATAAAACCACTTTCAAAAACTTTTTATCAAAACCACAATCAATTTGTTAAACAACTCAACACGAGTCCAATATAGACTTGAAACGCAAAACCTCCATTCATCCTACTTATCAACAAACTGGTGATAAACTTAACGGCAAATCTTCAAGCCTGAAGGTTGCAATCTTGAGTCGTTAGCCCCGCCCACTTCCGGTGTAACCACGATAGGATCTACTTCCGGTGTAAGAGATTCACCCTTTAACGAGCTTCGCTATCATTTGAATCCATTTGTGTAGTACACAGTAATAATATTGTTATGTTGACTGATACGTAATAATAGCATAGCTTTATAAGGCTTTATTGAAACTCATTTTCAACTTTTATTACCATTTTCAAAATTCCCAATAGCAACTGTGACTTGGGACCTATTGTTTTGTGGTACGAGTATTTAGCATTATATTAGAACTCTTTTTTATGCCTGCCTGGATGACCGAGTGGTCGCAAGTGCTACTGCCGGGCATGGAGTCTCGGGTTCGATTCCGGGGCAAAAAAAGCTCAGTGGTAGCACGGAGTCTGGAATTGTGCCCAGTATATGGCAATAGGCTCACCCCATATTACATGGGACTCATAACATAAATAGTGAAAAGTGGCTGTTACATTGTACAGTGGCATTAAGTGCCGTAATGTGCACCTCTGCCTACCCCTTCGGGGATAAAAGGCGTGATGTAATGTTATGTTGTTATGTCTTTTTTATTTGTCGGCTTGCTTGGTGATAAGCGATGATGCGGGCTACGATGGAACACATCTGCCCATAAGCAACCTATTCACCTATACTTAAGTATGCAATTGTCACCACCACAAATCGTGCTGAGGGTTTTCGGAGACCTTTGGGGTACTGTCTATTAAGAAGATCTAGAGCCGGGAGGCCCTTTTATATCTACTGAGGGTCAGTGCTCCTAGGCGCGGATAATGGTCAGCGGTGAGGTTTAGTGTTATCCTATATTCCATACTATTTCTTCCTTAAAAGCTAGGCGTATTTTGCAGGTCTCCATCCGTCATAAAAAAGGTATCGATGAGGGACTTCACATATGACAAAGGACCAGTGCCCAGGCACAGTAGTACTACCTGGTAAACCTAAAGAGCCATCAGACCACCACGGATGGGGCCCAATAGGGCTGATGTCGATACGGAGCCGCGGAGGACTTAATGGGTTACCGGGGCTCTGGATCGAAGTGCAGGAGAAGGAACGGGGTGGTTTTTAGTCAGTAAGAGTCTGACACTCCCTCCCGCCTCACCCAGGCGGGAGAAGTCATTCGATAATTATTCCCCGCTTAAAAAAACCTGAACCTTTATAACTGCGATCTTCAACTCACTTATAAAGTGATAAGATTACTGGCGAACCCTGTGATGTAGAGGAGGCTTATGGAACAGCAGTGGAAAGTCACGGCTTTTTACAAATCTGTCTTAGTGACCAAGTGTACTGTGGGTCATAGGGATTTAAATTTAATGCCCGGGTACTTACAAAGTCATTTTGGGTATTTCGATTTCTGCATGTCTTAGGGTCGAAGTTTCAATCATCAGATAATTCTTAACTGTGTGTGAAAATTGATATTTAAAAGTTTTAAGTATGGAAGAATTAATTGTCAAACATTCAAAGTAATTCCTTAATTAAAATTTATCTAGCGTTACAAAAATCGATCCTTAGGGTCGAAATTTGGGGTGCGGTGCCAGAAGACCTCCCCGTGGTGCACCCTGGGTGCGGGCGACAGTCTCCCTAGCGGGGGTGATAGGGTTGGAGTGACTGTCGCCCGCAGCAGACTTCTGGACTGGGCGGGCGAACCCGATAGGGTTCTGGAGGCGGCGGGCTGTGTGCGGAGGCTCATAGCCCGCGCTTCCGAGGGGCGTTTCTCGGCCCGTCTCTCTGGACATAGCAGAGAGCGTGGCGTAGAGGCAAGGGCGGTGCTCGTTGTGCACTCACCCTGCCAGC